GATAGTGTATTTTGCTGTTTTGTTTTATTTGTTCTTTTTTTTTAAGTAAGGATCTTTACAGAATGTTTACACTTTGGCAATTAAACACCCTAAACCCAGTTTCCACAACTGTAAGAGTGCAATAATAATTAGATCGTTCCAGGGTCAGTATGAATAGTCAAGTAAAATTTAGAATGCAAAGCCCTCGGTACAATTCTGGGCACATAGTCAATGCTCAATCAACATCTGGACCTGCTCACTGCAATGCAAGGCATCTCCTGCCTCTGCTTCTCTTTGGAAGATCCTAAATGTACCTTTCAAAATACTCTTCTACATTAAGGGCCTAAGTGAAACAAAAGAGAGATTTGATAATGTCATACTGAATGCCCTTTCATCCAAGCCATGAGTCTCAGCTTTGGTGTCCTGAAACCAGAACCTCCTAGCAGATGTCCATCATTGTGTATTTGCATTTCAGATGCCAGCTCTATATCTGCCACAGAAGACTTCCCCTTCCAGAAACACATTTTGCTTTTCAACATCTCCATTCCTAGGCATGAGCAGATCACGAGGGCAGAGCTCCGACTCTACATCTCCTGTCAAAGTCACGAGGACCCCTCTCATGAGTTGAAAGGAAACATGGTCATTTATGATGTTCTGGATGGAGCAGACACATGGGACGATTCTACAGGAACCAAGACCTTCCTGGTGTCCCAGGACATTCGTGACGAGGGCTGGGAGACCTTTGAGGTCTCCAGTGCTGTGAAGCGGTGGGTCAGAGCAGACTCCACCAAGAGCAAAAACAAACTGGAAGTGACTGTGGAGAGTCACAGAAAAGGATGTGACAAGCTGGATATCAGTGTCCCCCCAGGCTCCAAAAACCTGCCCTTCTTCGTTGTCTTCTCCAATGACCGCAGCAATGGGACCAAGGAGACCAGGCTGGAGCTCAGGGAGATGATTGGCCATGAGCAGGAGAGTGTGCTAAAGAAGTTGTCCAACAATGACCCAGAGGAGGCAGGTGAGATAAAGGATGAGGAGGAGGACTTGGAAAGCCACATTGTGGCCGCAAGGTCGTCCTTAACCAGGCAGAAGAGGAGTGTTGGGGCCAACAACCACTGTCAGAAGACCTCCCTGAGGGTTAACTTCGAGGACATTGGCTGGGACAGTTGGATCATCGCGCCCAAAGAGTACGATGCCTACGAGTGCAAAGGTGGCTGCTTCTTCCCCCTGGCTGATGATGTGACACCAACGAAACACGCCATTGTGCAGACCCTGGTGCATCTCAAGTTCCCCATGAAGGTGGGCAAGGCCTGCTGCGTGCCCACCAAACTGAGCCCCATCTCCATCCTCTACAAGGATGACATGGGGGTCCCCACCCTCAAGTACCACTATGAAGGGATGAGCGTGGCAGAGTGTGGGTGCAGGTAGTGCCGGCCTGCAGGCGGGGAGGCCAGGTGGGGGAGGGTCCTAATGAGAGGTCCTGCATCCTCCTGGGTATGACAGGGACTGAGTCCATCTGCATGCCAGCCTGAGAAGGAAAGGAGCTGTCACACCCTCCAGGTAAAAGCCTGCTCTCCCTCTCATGGCCCAACCCAAGCACATCACTGGGTTTAACAGCAGGGGAAGGCAATGACAAGGGGACATACAGATCTGGGGAGAAGAGGGAAGCCTGGAAGGGTTGTTTGGGTTGAAGGGGAAATGATGAGAAGTGGACAAGAGGAAAAATAATCCAGAGTCAGCAGAACACTGAGCAGAGGTGAGCCAGAGGAGTATAGACTGTAGGTGATGTGCAGAGATTTACAGAAATTCAAGGAGTTGAGGAGGATGAGGCTTATTCCAATAACCTCAGGGAGTACAGAGGAAAGGAGCAGGCTCTGTGTTCTATACCCACCATTTCTCATATTCCCACAGCCCAGTGAGATGGGCGTTATGACCCCCAGTTTATACATGCAGAACCCAAAGCCCAGGCAGGCCCAGTAGCCCCAGTCAATGGCCTGATTTCATTGCATAGGTTTATAGGTTTGTCCCTCGCCAAAGCTCAAGACCTTCTCACATGCCCCATCACAATTTAACAGGCCACCTTGTAGCTAAAGGACAATTAGATGTTGGGAGGTGGGGAGTGCGGCCAGCACTCACCAGTATGACTGGGCTGCCTGTCACATCCAGGACACATCCTAACTGCTCAGTGCCTGTACTGAGTCAGTGGCCAAATGCTTTTTTAAGATCACCACCCAAGTCAGTGAAAAACTACCCCAAACCAACAACAGAATGGAGAAAATCAGGACAGCAACACTGGGCCACAGCATGCATTGTGGCCAGAGCTACTTTGACCCACTGGCACAGTGCTTGGATGGCCAGCAGTTCACACAGGACCNGGTGAACATGGAGGGGGCACCTTCGACCTAAGGATGTTACTGGAGAACATGAAGGTGGATTTCCTGCGCAGCCTCAACCTGAGCGGCGTCCCCTCCCAGGATAAAACCCGAGCAGAGCCACCACAGTACATGATCGACCTGTACAACAGATACACCACCGACAAGTCTTCCACCCCGGCGTCCAACATTGTTCGCAGCTTCAGCATGGAAGGTAGAGTTGGCTCCACCCGGGTTTCTGCGGGTTGAGGGGGGGAACTCAGTGGTCCACAGCTGTGCTGTCCAGTGTGGTGGCCACAGGCCACATGAGACTCTTTAAGTTTCCATTTCAATTAATTAAAATGAAATAAAATTAATAACTTAGTTCTTTAGTTTCACTAGCTTCGATTCAAGCGTCCAAACATTCACGTGTGGCTAATGACCATCCTATAGGACAGTACAGATCACGGAACATTTCCTTCATTGCAGAGTTCTACTGGTCAGCTCTGCTCTAGGAGATTCTCCTTCCCTGGACCCAGTGCCACATTTAACTCAGTGGGAGCTCTGGGAATGCCAGCTCCCTCTCTTCCACCCCTTTCTTTCCTCCCCCTTCCCTCACTGTCCCCTTCCCACTTAGAAATGGACAACTCATTTAGCCTCCAACCAGCTGATACAGCTTTAAACATTGAAAGAATGTCTATTTCTGTCTCATCAAACGATGTCTAAAATTCAGATAAATTTCTCTGAGCACTTCATGTTGGAGGACTACTTAATTATTTTCTAAATATAAAATAATTTCCCTGATTTAGGAAGACTAGAAGAAAACAAACATCGACTTAGGGCTTATATTCACTAATTCATACAATGTAGGTGAAATGATTTTGTGAGCAGGGAAGCTAGGCTTGCAGATGCTGTAGGAACATGCCCAGGTCACCTAGTAGTTAAGCAGCTGGATTCTGACCTAGACCCATCCGCCTGCACAGCTCAGGCATTTCCTGCCGCTGCTATCTCCCTCTAAACAAGCAGCCCCACAAGTCCTCCCTGCTCCTGGGCTGGAACCCTGTAAATGCCTAACAGGCTTTGCTCAGTGCCCTGGCCAGCAGGCCAGACCTGCCCGGCCTGCAGAGGGTATGCCCATCTAAAGGACGCTGTGGTCACAGTGCATGCCCAGCAGGGCCAGCTTTTCTGATTGTCCAAAAGAAAAAGAAAAATCTCAATTTTATGTGAACTTGCCTGATTTTTAAAACACAGGCTTTATTATTATTTTTTTAATGCCATCTGCAGCATCTCATCAGGCCCACAGGGAATGTCTGCAAGCTCTGCTTCAGGGAAAGGCTGGGCTTTTTTGGCTGTATCTAACCCCCAAATCCCATCTGGGAGTCCTGTGTTTAGAGTCATCTCCACGACACCCCTCCCCTCACCCTCCAGCATGGTCCGTGTCCCAGAAACAAGTGCTCTGATTCGATCCCAGTTCTGCCTGTGGCCAGCACTCCTGTGCAGGCCAATTATGCTTCCCTTCACAGACTTCACAGATGGTCCGAGTGTGGCTCGGTGGGTGGGGGACATTTGCTTTCTAGATGTCTGACTGCAGTCCTACAGCCATTATCAAGCATGCCACAGGAAGAGCACATTAGGTCACTAATGCACTACTCACAGATCCCCTCATTACTCAGATATCTCACAGCAGCTCAGCACGTTCTGCAGGAACTGGAATAGCTGTGAGGGGACCACAGAGAACTGTGTGAAAGGACATGTGCTTTGGAGGAGATGGCCACAGGTGGGGAGGAAGGTCTGGGGAGGACACAGAAATATTGATTGAGCATCTACTATGAGCTAGAGACAGTATTGGGTAACTTCCATGCACCATCTTGTTGAAGCCTCAAACCAACCCTGGGAGGCAGGAAGGATAAGCTCCATTCTGCAGATGAGGAAACTGAGGCATAGAGACACTCAGGATTTTTTTAAGGTCATAAGCCTAGGAAAGGGCAGAGTCAGGATTGACGCTTTAGTCTGACAGACACCAAAACCTGCTGGTTTTCAGGACAGCATATTGTGTCCCTTCAGTTGACACATAGTAAAAGCTCACAAAAC